AAAAAAAAAAAAAAAAAAAAAAAGAAACAAAATGAATAACCACTGAAGTAGAAACAAACTGGATTTCACTAACTTCTGTTCATCAGAAAGCACTTTTAAGTGGCTGCACAGGCCTGAGTGAGAGAGAAAGCTCTATGAGAAAGAGAGCCAGAAGTTCATGTCCCAAACATACAATGACACTCACATGAAGGACTGAAAAGAAAAAAAGGTAACCAGATAGAAAAATCGGTACAAAACTTCAATTGGCACTTCACAAAAAAGAATATCCAACTGATTAATGCACATATGAAACGGTATCAAACCTCACTAATAATCTAGAAAATGCAATTGAAACCACAATGAGATACCAGTGTACACCCACCAGAATGGCCCAAACAGGGAGTGCACAGAAGTGGAACACTGGGCTTTCTCACTTTGCAGTGGAGATGAGTAACAGCATAATCACCGTGGAAAACAGGCATTCTGTATTAAAGCATCCTCTACAAACCAAGAATCCCACCAAGAAACAGAAAGAATGATTAAAGAAACAAATGTGAGAATGTTAACATATTGGCAGGAGTGCTGGCTCACGCCTCTAATGTCAGCACTTTGGGGGGTCAAAGTAGGAGGATCACTGAGCCTAGGAGTTTGAGACCAGCCTGGGTAAAAGAGGGAGACCTTGACTCTACAAAAAACGTGAAATGTACCCAGGCATGGTGGCACACACCTGTAGTCCCACCTGGGTGAAAGGATCTGCTTGAGCTGGGAGGTCAAGGCTGCAGTGAGCCATGATCGCACCATTGCCCTCCAGCCTGAATGAAAGGGCAAGGCCCCTGACTCAAAAAGAAAGGTAACATATTTACTATAACCTAAGTCTAAAAACAACTTACATGTCCATCAACAAGTAGAATGAACACGTTGTTGTATATTCGAACAAAAGTATACTATATATGGAATAAAAATCAAAGAACCTAATAATGGGATGAACCTCAGAAACCCAAAGGTACATACTGTCTAATTCCACTTACATGAAATCCAAGAACAGACAAAATTAAAATTATGTTGGGCAGGGACAAGCACTTGGTATAAGACGATCAGAAGTAAGATGGTGACAACCACACAGCCTGAAAACCACACACTTTTCAGAGAAATGAGTCAGCATTTGGGAGGGTTCTCCATGATCCCGGCTAAGGCTTGAATGGCTGTGACATGGTTTTCTCTGTGATCAATTACAGATACGTACTGGGTACTTTTGTATATATGTTACATATCACAACTGAAAAAGGCTTTACAGTGAGTAAGCTGCTATCTGATCAAGTTAATGCCCCTCAGCCATATGATAAGTTAGTAGAGAGACAAAGTAACACAACTGTGTAAGCTCACTCCTAAACAAAAGGGGTGCTGAAAGCAGTAACTGTTTTAAAAATAAAAAACCATGTTCAATGTCCTGCGGCCGTTTTCCTCAGGACAACTGCTACCTCTTGTTTTAAGCTGCCATGTTAGAAAGACAATGGTCTAAAATACGAGAAGAAGAAAAAGCCCACCCAGCTTGAGATTTCATATAGATCAAAGTTGAACCGGGATCTTGACTGATTCTGGGTCCCGGAAGCTAGAACCATAGTGAGTAAGGTAACTTAGACTCAAAAACCCAAAGCTCATTACGAAGACAAGTTTCATTCCAATTTGGGACACACTACAGACAATGCCTACAAGGAAGTGCTCAGGTTGACTCCAGGAATTTTGCATCCCACTAACATCAACCAACCAGAGGACTCTGGAGAGTCTTCTCGTATCGATCTCTGCCTCCTGAGCTTCTGGAGGCACAAGGACTTTGTAAAATTTCCTTTCGGTACTTAACAAGGATTACTACTGGAAAAATCTTCCTTAAATATATCCCAAATATAGCCTGGTGCAGTGGCTCATGTCTGTAATGCCAGCACTCTGGGAGGTCGAGGCAGGTGGATCACCTGAGGCCAGGAGCTCAAAACCACCCTGGCCAACATGATGAAACCCCATCTCTACTAAAAATACAAAAATTAGCTGGGTGTTGTGGCATGCGTCGATGGTCCCAGCTACTCGGCAGGCTGAGGCAGGAGAATCACTTGAGCCCAGGAGGCAGAGGTTGCAGTGAGCTCAGTAAGCTGAGGTGACACTGCACTTCAGCCTGGACAAAAGGGCAAGACATGGTCTCCAAAAAGGAAATTATATATATATATTTGAGTCATATGTATCTGACCCAAATTTCTTCTGATTTGGATTATCTTCATTTTTCATCTATGCTACCATCAGTGGAAATGGCAAATAACTGGTCTTCCTTTGTAAAGTATTCTTTGAAATTAAGAGGCAAGAATAGGTTAGACAAGAACAATAAAACTTTACTCAGTAAAAGTCCTTTAAGACAACATACCCATTATGCCAGGCCAGGCTAACTCTTCATGATCATCCCGTTCCTTTCCTGGCGCCAGGTGGTTGAACCGATCCAGATGCTCCAACAGGCCGCCCAGCAGAGGCACAGCTCCAGCCTCTTGCATGAGACCAGCATTTTTACTGAGCAGAAGCACTACAGAAACTACTAGTTCTGGAAGGAGAACACCTGCATTTAAGAAATAATAAGATTTAAATAAGCACTTAACCTATAACAGCTCTTTGTAAACTTGTTCTGTGTTTAAATTCTGCTAAGTCACAAAACAAGAAATGTTCGTCCTTCAGCATATTTCTACAGATTATTTTATATTTTATGTTGAAAGAGACGGTATTGCTTTCAAACAGAATACTTTAAATTACAAAAAGATTTTCCAAAACACTGTATTTCAATAACAGAACTATGAACTAAACACTCTTCTATTCAGAAAACTAATTGCTGATTGGTGTTTATCATCAGAAAAAAACACTCAAAAATAATGTTCTAACTTCAAAAAATTAACTTTAAAACATACCAGGTAATATCAGAATTTTTAAGATCCTTAAAGAGGTACCTAATTTTTATTATGCTATCAAAATAAAATTAGACAATTACTATTGAAGTGTCGATAATGGAAGTATAAATCTAAATTACCAATTATATTTAAAGTGATCTGAGTCCCATGCCAGCTGGTTAACAACAGAACTGTAAAAAAAAAAAAAAAAAAAAAAAAAAAAAAAAAAAAACAAAGGTGAAAGGGCAGGAGGACCAGAAGATTCAGAGAGTAAATGCAGGCAGGCTGATCAGGAAAGAAGACACTTTAGTTTTCATCTATCTCCTAAGGCACACACGTTGACAAGCAGGAAACAAAAGGTACCGGTAAAGTCCCCTTCCACAATGCAAGCCACCTCTGCAAAGTGCCGCCAGCTGGTGGACGCAACGCTGGCCGCCACAGGCAGTATATCTCCAATGTGCGTGCACAGAAGGGCCGTGTACTTCTTCAGCAAGGAACCAACGCCCATCAGCTCCGGATCTTGAAGAAGGATTGAGAAATTCTCATTTTCACTATTAAAAATTTTATCTGTAAACAAACTGCTCCATGATTCTACTCTCATCTACACATCTACATACCTATAGTAATTTTCTCAAACAGGAGCCTGTTAATCCTTAGTCCTTGGCTCCTTCTCTATCATGCAACTGGAGGGACAGTGTTTCTATGTCAAGTTTTATACCCTGCACTACAGATTACCTAGGCATTTTGGGTGTATAAATACTAAAGTCATAATCTAATTCAAATATATGTTTTTTTTGTTTTGTTTTGTTTTGTTTTTTTTGAGACGGAGTTTCACTCTTGTTACCCAGGCTGGAGTGCAATGGCGCGACCTCGGCTCACCGCAACCTCCGCCTCCTGGGTTCAGGCAATTCTCCTGCCTCAACCTCCTGAGTAGCTGGGATTACAGGCACGCGCCACCATGCCCAGCTAATGTTTTGTATTTTTAGTAGAGACGGGGTTTCACCATGTTGACCAGGATGGTCTCGATCTCTTGACCTCGTGATCCACCCGCCTCGGCCTCCCAAAGTGCTGGGATTACAGGCTTGAGCCACCGCGCCCGGCCTAATTCAAATATATGTTTTTAAGAAATGAGGTTCTCACTATGTTGCCCAGATTGGACTCAAATTCCTGGACTCAAGTGATCCTCCTGCTTCAGCCTCCTAGCAGTTAGAACTACATATGTGTACCACCACACCCAGCTCTGAATTTTTAAAACTTTATATCCAGTATACAAATGTTTGTTTCCCAGAAGCTTGTAAAGTATCCCCAAAAAACAAAGTTAGGCACTTTCTGCTAATTTCCTGAATTTTTAGTAGAGACGGGATTTCACTATGTTGGCCAGGCTAGTCTTGAACTCCTAACCTTGTGATCCGGCCTCCCAAACTGCTGGGAATACAGGCGTTAGCCACCACACCCAGACTCCTACATGGCTCTTAATAGCTTTTCAGTCCTTATGACTTTGTCTTTGAGACAGTCGCCTTCTGTTTCAAACTATCAACTCACCTACTGAAACCTGAAAGTTTCCATTACTGACAAGAGCCTAACCCTTCAGGAAGTAATTAACTTACTTTGGAAAGAAAACAGCTACAAAAATACTAACACCAGCAACAGACCTTTCCATCCTTGACAGAGACAGCTCCATGATGGAGGGCTAGCTGCCACCCTGGGTGCTCGAGCAAGGGCACCATTCCCTTGACAGTGCACAGCACTGAGCACTTACACTCCATTCTATTCCGATCCTCGCAGGCTACCTCAGGAGTATCCCAAGTCTGCAGGTGAGAAACCTTTGGCCCCATCAGACTTAGTCTAATGTCTGAACTATTAAGCAGAGCTGTAACTGAAGCCCAGACTTCCTCCAACGATTCCTCCCACTCCACCCAGCTGGCTCCCTCATGTGACACGAATAGGCTGTCACCGTTTACTTCTTACACCATGCTAGTCTCAACCGTTCCACAGTACTTGGAACAAATCTGACAAATCTTCTGTAAGACTAAACTGAACATCCAGGATGCTACTACTGATGTCTAAAGAATTTAAATATTAAGACAACAAAATTAAAAATATTAACAAGGCTAATATAGAAAGGTCCAACCCAAAAAAGTGGATGCAAAATGAAGCCCCCACATTGGTGCATTTAGGAGTGTAACAACTACACATCTGGGCATACAGGATGGACACATCAAAAAGCCTAAATTAACAAGCCCAAAGTACACACAAGACATTTTTCACATTTTAAGCAACTTACCAGAAATATCTGAGGTCTCACCAAGACTTTCTCCTGGATAAAGTTTACTAATAAGCAAACGTTGAAAACGCAATAATAAATCCAACGAAGCAGATCTGTCACGACTGTGCTGCTCAAAGTCCAGACATGATGAAATCCGACGGGCAACATCTTTCAATCTGGCTACAGTCTGAGAAGCAATGTTTCTATCCAGGAAAAAAGAGGATTACAAAATTAAACAAGTCATTTCTATTAAAAAGGAAAAGGGATGGGGTAAATCATGACAAACTAACATCACAAACACAGATCACACATGAAGATGACCTGCAGCTGGCTTCCCTCCCCAAGTATGTGTCCAGTGTTTCTACAATAAGCGTAACCTCAGCCAAAACGCAGCAGAAGAGCACGGAAGACTCAAAAGAGATAAAGATGCCCTCCTGCTTCACTCATGTGCTCCTATGGAGCTGCCTGCAGTGGTCCAAACTGCAGAGGATCTTGCTTCAAAATGAACACTTCTATATTCCTGATGTCTAAGGAATATATTAAGAAAACAAAATTTAAAATATTGACAAGGCTAATACAGAAGTATCTGACCCTCTAGAAGGAAAAAACACGTGTCATTATTTTTTTGTCCAAAGCTGCATTTCAAATAGAAATGTGATACTACTCTTTAAAGACAAGACTCGCTTGCATTGCCACGTCTGCCTTACATGTCCACCTTGAGCACCTACTCACAAGCAGCACGGTGGACCATACAGCAGGTGCCCAGGGCTCAAGGAATAGGGGAAGGTAGACCAAAGCAGTTGACCAGAGAGCATGACAGCAAAGAAAGCAGAAGAGGCTCCAGTTCCAACAGTATGATGTGATTTGAGCAATGAGATATCGGTAAAGGGAAGGGAAGAAACACACATGCCCAGAAGGTACAGTTAGGAGAGCAGTGAATGTTTCTGGTTCCTGAGTAGAACAGGAAGAAACGAGGGAAGAACAAGACAAGGAAGCAAGAGAGAGACACTGCGGGGAATGGAGCATCAGGCTGTGGGACTAGAGTCTGCAATGCTAAGCCACCGAGGTCATGAAAGGAAAATAACACCTTGTGTGTGTTTCAGGAAGGGAACTCTTATGTCAGTGTGAAAGCATCACACAGGACAGGGGAACCTGGAGGAGTGCAGAGCCAAAGCAGGGCGTGGCTCCAGATCCACCCACCCCACCCACCCTGTTGAGCTGGGAGCACAAGCGGCTCTCTGCACAACACCAAGGACAGGACATGCATTCAGCTCCACTTTAACTCAGGTTCCTAGTGTGACAGCAGGTGTGCCAATCCCACTTGCCCCTGTGGCTCACACCAGACAACTACCAGAGGTGTGAAGGACAGGAGCAGGAGACAGAGGAGCCAGGGTTTGGGAATCCCACAGGCCCTGATCACACACACGGCAAGGATACCTCACTGGGCTCACCACCACCATTCAACATCACCTTCCAACTTCACTCCCTGAAAACCTGCCTGGATAACACCACTGCAACACAAGACACAGGTCTAGAATCTGCCATGTATGCTACACCTGAAGGAGGAAAAGATAGTAATAAAATACAATGAAATTTTTAATTTATTTCTTTAATATAAAATTCAGAGCCATAATCAAACTTCACAGCGCTTCATCTTCAAATGTAAATGGTATTCCCTGGCTCCTTGCCAGTATGCAACTGAAGAGTTACTGTGAAATCCATTTGGCAGCTTATTTTTAGCAAGCAGCAATTTCTTCAACCCACATTTTCCAAGGAAAAAAGGACATGAAATGTCTCCAGAAATCTCTTACAGTCTTTAGACTAGTGTTCAACAACTGCATCCGCCACATCAACACATAAAGAGTCCTTCCATCACCAACACTTAAGGTAAGAAAACGGCATCTATCCATGCAAGGAGAGGGACATATTCTCTATGCCTACGAACACAGCCTCAACTATCGGCTACTGAAAAGCTGTGAATGCATTTTTCTTTTTCTACCTTCCAAAATGTTTGTGAGGTGACACTTATTTCTATGATTGTTTCTACTCTTTTTACTTTGTTCTTTTTTAGTAGGTACACCCTTATCATGAATCTGCTGTAGAACCAATGTGCCATACAGGACCGCAGATGCCACAGGAACCAAAAAGTCATATGCAGTGAAGATGAAGACACAGGAGACAATCTGTGTGGACAGCAGAGAGCCACCTGCCCAGGACACCAATGGAGCCACAGATGCAATTCAAAACTTTCTTAATTTACTAATTTATCAATAATTTATTAATAAATGTGGCTAGGTATGGTGGCTCAGCCTATAATCCCAGCACTTTGGGAGGCCAATGCAGGCAGATCACCTGAGGATGGGCGTTCAAGACCACCCTGGCCAACATGGTGAAATCCCATCTCTACTAAAAATACAAAAATTAGCCGGGCATGGTGGCATGTACCTATAGTCCCAGCTACTCAGGAGGCTAAGGCAGGAGAATCATTTGAACCCAGGAGGCAGAGGTTGCAGTGAGCCGAGATTGTGCCACTGCACTCAAGTCCGGGCAACAATGAGAATTCATCTCAGAGGAGGAAAAAAACAAAACAAAACAAAACAAACAAACAAACAACAACAAAATATATATATATATATATGTTCTCAGTCAAATTAAGTTTAGAAAAAAAACCCTACATAAAATTAATTTTAATTGGCCGGACACAGTGGCTCACACCTATAATCCTAGCACTTTGGGAGGCCAAGGTGGGTGGATCACCTGAGGACAGGAGTTCAAGACCAGCCTGGCCATCACGGTGAAACCCTTTTTTTTT